GTAGGGAAAAAATATTACCACTTTGTCTCCCAAATTCAGCTAGTTTTCACAGAAACTTACTGACCTTACTGCAACTTAAGGAGGAACGAATGTGCACTGGAATATCAAGTTACATTTAAATATGCGAGACTTGAGATTTTATTTCGTGTTTACTTTCTGGCAACCTTTTAAAGAACACGGCTCTTTCGATAGAAGAGGCTGGTTTTGTATCGCTTACTGTAAAATACTGACTCGTTTTTTATGATTTGATGCCCAGGCTATTAAAATCCATTCCAAGATTTCCCATCAAATTTTCATCTCACATTTCAGCACCAAACCTAGGAACCCATCCTGTGTGCAGGGGCTAAGGGAGCCAAATCATCTATAAAATAAGTTCTACGAAAGTGAGGTTTAGGAAAAAGGCAACTCCCCTCTTTGCATGGCTTCTTCCCTCATTTTTGCGCGTTTTTCTTAAGCAAACAGAGCACCAATGAGATCCTGTATCACTGCCTGTGTCCTTCACTGCCTTCATTTCCTCACTCTCCATCTCCAGCACCTGGTTCAGCTCAATCACAGGAGCAGAAACCCTGTCACCACCCCCTAAAGTTAAAACTCCTCCAGGTTTTGTGAGAATAAAGCAGTACTACAGAGAATAGAAACCCAAATGCTAAGACAACTGCAATACTAAAAAAAAAAAAAAAAAAAAAAAAAAAGGGATCTAATGTTCTGTTAGTAGATACCAGGAAAGTCCATACACAAGAGACCATCTGAGGACACCAATGCCTAGAAAAGCTTCAGAGCCTGCAACAGCAGCAGCCTGTAGGGGCAAGTGATTCCTGCACCCGCTAAATTACCAGCTTCTAATCCCACAGGAAAGTTTTATTGCTTGAATGGATGTGAGCTTCCCTGCTCGGGAAATCGAGGTGGGACGTTTGCCTTTTACCCAGGCTCCTATCAGCACCCGCTCACCTCAGGTACGGATCTGTGCTGCTGCTCCGGCAGTGCAAAAGGAACTTTTTGACCTGGTTTATGCCCAGTTTTGCAAACCAAGTCCATACATTTACCTTCCAAACAGTTAAACGACCAAGCTATCTATTATAAAGAACCCAGGGATGCAAATCCATTCTGATCTTAATGGAAAAAATATATATATTTTTTACAAGGACAATTAAAAGCTAAAAGGTGTATGTGTGAGTGTATGTATAAATATATTTATACATACAGCATTTATTTATTACGGCTCCAAGGCTTTGGTACAATGTTTTAAAGAAATGCATACAGTAAGTATAAGAACAGATTTCATATGCCAGGTACTGACAACAAATCTACAGTCATCTGAGGCTGAAATGGTTCTGCGCAATTGAAGAAAGGAACTGGACTATAAAAAACCTACAAATTATTCAACTTTCGCAACTCAGACCCGATTTAAATACAAACTCCTCTTCAGAATATGCTGCTCAAGCTGCTTTTGCATGGAACAACACTGGCATCCAGTGGCCAATTCAATTAATCACAGAAGGGAGCAACTTAAGGCATCCTCCTACATTTCTTTGACTTGGAAGCATCACATTATTTATAAGACCCAAACTGAATCTGAAGAACACTGAAGAAAAGTTGGCATACACTCTAAAGTATAAGAAACCTGGTATTTATATAAATACTTCTTGCAAAATATTAATTACCTGGTAACGCAGTGATGAAGTCCCGTTGTAACATGGGCTTCAAGTAAGAGTTAATATGTCCATGCTGATAGTGACACATTCGTGAAATAAGGTGTTCCACAAATTCAACTTGATCTGATTCAGACCACTGGTCAAAGTATTTAATACACAAGTCTTTTTCCTTTTCGTAATTTCCTTCTGATGGTCTTTTTCTTGAGACAATCACAGATGAAGTTCCATTACTTATCTATTTTTAGAAAAAAAACAAAGTCACTATTTCAATATGAACATGAACATTCTTTATCAGAACTCTACTGAGGAAGAAAATGTGAGAAGCTACAGAAAAGTAATCAACACATTTTGAAATAGATTGTTAAAGCCATCACATCATTTAAGTTTCACCTGTCACAGATGAGGATGAATGAAAGGCCCTTGCTCCTAATTTTAAGTTCCTTGTTGCACTGAAAGACTTCTTGTACCTCTAGCTGTTCTCTTCTCTCACCATGCAAAGAGCAGGGAACTGCTCTTTTTAGAACAAATGTTTCCACACTAAACTAGTGGTTTCTGCCACAAATTGCAGTTTGCATCCACAAGTGTTTTACAGGTTCCTGCAGTAGCGATATAAGAAAGTGAGGCATCAATTCTCTAATCAGAACATAAAATTCAAGACCCTAACACAGGTGTTGAACTGCTTATCCCATTAATGAACACAGAGGATTACATAATGTCAAGGGTTTATTCAGTTTTTGAAAAGCAGTTCATGCCTGTGTTTGGGGCATCCATGTCAACATGTTAACTAGAATACGCAGATTATCATCCTCTACATAGTGTTCAGCAGCTAAATGTTGGGAATTAAAGCTAAAAACAATAATTCTGGAGAAGAACATGCCAAGGCTTATTACTAATGTATAAAGAGAGTCAAAGATCCACGCCGGGCTCATTGAGTTCTTCAAGAGACCAAAAGGGCTCCTGGAGTGCAACTATCACTCTCTGAAATTATTCCCAAACCTCTCCAAATCAAACTGGTGGCAAAACTCTCCGACGCAGCTCTGAGACCTTGAGCTGTTCTCAAGGACCCTTCGACTGGAAGCAGATGTGCCATTTCGCAGTCAGTGAAAACACCCCAAACCTGAGAAGATCTAGTCATTCGTCGAGTATCATTCACTGTCATCCTTCTCTTGAAGGCTGAGCTAATTTTAGGATGACCAAGTCAACCAGATGGAAGTTGATGATGAATGTGCAGAAGCAAGCTATTTAAGATGGTCCCCAGAAGCCGGAACATGGAGAATGACACCAACTCTCTTTGTAAGAATGAGTCTTACCTGCCATAGGGTATTTTTCTTTGGAGACTCATCTTCATTCTGATCCTCCATTACTGACGTGTTCTAGGAGAAAAGGAATTACAGTTTAAATTTTGTTTTTTCTGCTGCTACGGCAATTCTTTGCCTGTGCTTTACAAAAAGCAAACAGATAACCCCATTTTCCTACTGAACAAAAATTATTAAAAATGTCACCAAATACCCGGTATTGTCAATAAGCTCCCTTTCACTGACTTGTTTATCAATTCTGTTTACTGCAAAGATAACTTCCTAAGCCCTCTGCCATTTCCTTTGACAGGTTTTCATGTCGCCTTCCAGTGCTTTGCTCATTGAGAAATAAATTCACTTTCAGCCTGCTCAGGTCAAAGCAATTAAACCTGTCAAAGTAATCAGCTCACACCTTCCGCCAAAGCCAAATTGCATTCCTCTAGTAGGAACTAAAATAAACGAAATCACTACGCCCTGCATGCGTGCAATGGAAAGCAAATTCTTAGTTTCTTGTGGTGGGCTCGAGCTCACCGCAAGGAGGAGGAGGAGGGATATTCTCCGTGGAGAAGGTTTCTAATTCACTGCTGCTCGTGTTTATAGCCCCTTGGCAGTCATCGCCTTTTCTGCACCCTGACTTAATTACAGGGTTCTCCCTACATTGTAACTGCACCTCCCTCTTCCCCGTTTCCTTCCTTTCTGCTCAAGGACTAGAGATGCAAGGATGTCTAGACACGAACCCACAAGTTTTCCTTTTAGTTTGCTTCAGTTTTGTAAAATCTTTCAACATCCTTCATTTCCTTTCCTCCTTTCTCCATTTCCCACTCAATTTTGCTGTCCCTACCACACCTACCAGTTATCTCCAAACACCCTCAGGGACTTGAGGCTTCTGCAGTTCCTGCTCCCTTGGCTTCCTACCGACTCTGCCCTCCCTGTCTTGCATGAAACCCGAACGTCAACCCAGTTATGAAAACCCAAATGTCTTAAAGCACAATCTATATTTATATTATCCTTCTTCCCCTCTCTGACAGCTGTCTTGGCAGAAAGAGGAACAATATACTTAACCAAAAAAAAAAAAAAAGACAAAATACGTCAAAATTATTCCTTTACTTTGGCCATCTGATTATAGATGAAGCCCCTAACAGCTCCACATACTGCCCTGTCCAAAACACCACTGCACCTCAAATACATGAGCCACTTCCTCTGCCCCCTTTTACGCAGCAGGAAGGTATCACACGGGTAAAATTAAAGAAAGTAAAATTAGAAGTATTAACTCTGTTGGGTAATAGGAAATCCAATATATTGCAAACTCTCTAAGATAGATAGCAACGCTTTCCACTCGCTGAAGGATTAAAAACGTGTTTTGATTGAGCTAATATTACCTAAGAGCAAGGAACAGGAGTGCTAATGAGAACACCAAACCTTGGAAGCTCCCGTTAACACTCCTGGCCTGGGTCAGTGCATGCAGCAGGGACTAGAGGAGAAGTCTACCCACCGCTGGTGTGCACCAGCCCCAAAACAGACCCGGATGCTCCCTGCAAGGGTGACCGGGCGCTGCAGCAAGCGGCCCAGAGAGGTTGCCAAGTCTCAAACCATGAAGACACTCAAAACCCAAGTGGACACAGCCCTGGGCAACCTGCTTAGGTGACCCTGCTTGAGCAGGTAGCTTGGACTACACATCCCGAGGTCCCTTCCAAGCCCGACTGCTCTGAGGTCTGTCACCTCTTCCAGGAAACCTCACAGAGCACCTTAGCCCAGTGCGACTTCCCTTTGGTGGGTCACGCTGAGACCACGTTCTTCAGTTGGGAAACAACCGAGATCACTGCCCATTCCCAGACTGTCAGCTAAGAATTTTGTCCAAGACTCTGCTTCTTTTCCTTCCAGGAATATCTAGTACAGCAGCACAAGCAGCACTGCAAGACCAAGCGTGTGACATGGCAAATGTTACTAGTATCATCCAACACCTACACCATGCTAGAGCTTGCAGAGCTAGTTGTCATCTTCAATGTGCATCTGCTAAACTCTCCTGGGCCTCTCTGGTTGCTTGGGTCAAGAGAAGGCTGCAAAAAGGCCATCTGGCTTATACAGCAGTGCTCCTGAAAGATGCTCTATATTCCCCCAAACTCTTATTAATTTGGCCACAAATGCGAGGGCAGACTACACAGCCTTATTTTTAGGCTGGAAGTTTAACATTGCAGAAATCTATTCTGACTATGCCTGGTTATGAGAAGCAAATGGCTGTGTTATTTTTTGTATGAGTGCTCCAGTGCTTCGTAATGCTTTTTTCCCTTGTTTCCCCATGCAAAACTCACCCCACAAATTACCTTCTAGAGCTTCAAGGTTTTAAGCCTTCATTCTACTCTCTCTTCTCTTCCCTACAAGTTTTATCTCCATCTTACACAATATTCAGCTCGTTCTGATGCTCTAGTGCACTCCTAGGGCGCTTCAGCCCACTAACCAGGGAGTAAGAGGTGGCTCGGGCAGACACTGCCCTGTTGTTGGAAGAGGCAATAAACTGTTCTCTACATCCGAAGGGCCTCGCAAGCAAAGGATTCCAAACCTCCTAAAGCTGCCATCACTCGCCCTGGCTCGGGAAGGCCTCCAACTATTATGCAAGGAAGGAGATACACATCTACAAGTCAGACTCTTCCCCTTCATCACGGTTCTCCTCTCCCAGCCTGTACTTAGCTGTTTACGCCACCCACCCTCTCTGCACGGGCACATAGACTCCCCAGCAGGTTTCCACGGAAATCTTAGGCTGGAAGTAACACAACCTGCGTGCGTTTCCCCGCAGCTAAACCAGACCTGGTCCCACGGGCGGCCTCGCTCGCTCCCTCCACCAAGGCCATGAGCAGCTCGAACGGGAGCAACCTGCGCTCGGAGGCTCGGGAACACCATTTTTTCGGCTGTTATCCAAGACACTGGAGCCCTCAGCTTCCCCAAAGAAAGCCCAGCTTCGAAACACTGCCTGTTAACCCTGGTGATAAGTGCATTTGCCCAGAAATTCGTGTCTACTCACTCAGAGGTCCTGCAAGAGCCAGGCACGGCTGGGCTGCCCCCACGTTCCTGCTGTGCCCTCCCCGATGAAGGCACGCTGAGAAATCAGTTTTAATTCAGATCCTTAGATACATGGGAGCAACTAAGCACTCTGGACCGGCTCCAGCATACGTGCACGTACCACGTCGGGTGCAAGAGCACCTACAAGGGACCCGGTAGAGGCACAGTGTGTACCCACGAAGCAGGTCTCCCTGGCAAGACACACAGAAAATCTCCATCTTTGCTGGCAGGGTCCACCTAAATACGTAGCTAACCAGGCTCCCAGCCCTGCTCCAAGGAGGCAGGGGCAGGTTTTGCCTCTGGAATTGGGAGCGGGTGCTGGTCTGACACCTCATTCCCCGGAAGAGCAGTAGCCCGGCGCGGCTCTGCTCCTCGTCCCAGTTTTCCTCCCTTCCAGCAGCAACAGAGCAATGGGAGGTGACAGCAGCAGCACCGGGAAGCAGGAGGGGACCCGGAGCACCCGAGCAGCACCCAGCGAGGCCGGCGAGGCGCCCACGGCTGCGGCCCGGCCCTGGGACAGCTGGAGCGGGGCCGTGCTGCCTGCAATGAGGAAGAGCAGCCCTCCATTGTGCCTATTTTCAGCTGCGGAGAAAGGAAAAGCTGTAGATAAAATAGAAAATTCCATTTTCCTCCTCTTGACACTAGTCTGGTCATTCTGATCCAATTTAAGGCTGAGCTGCTTCTTAGAAATCTGATTCTTCACAAAATTCCGGAGACCATAAATAAATTAAATTACAAAACAGGACAAAACGGTCCAGATTAAGAGGCTTTGAGTCCTTTTAGCAAATCACATCTTTTCTTTAGAGGTGCTGAGGAAATGGTAAGAAGCAGCCACAGTCAGTATTTTCTAACCCAGGAACCTGCTTAATGGTGCTTTTTAACAGCTCGATGCCTGATCAGGTAGAGAAGGGTATGAATCAAGCCCAGGGAGGATGTGGATGGTTATTCCGAGAGGAGTCATGAAGACACTGGACTTCGGAGAGGAGAGAGCGCTACCAATATCCCAAAAAATGTGGAACCAGTGGCCCAAAAAACTTTCCAAATAAAGAGTTTGGGAAACATCTGGTAGCCATAACTCTGAGTCCACTGCCCATAGTCACTATAAAGTAACCTGAAAATAAAGCACCAAAATTCACCAAGCTCAACTAGAAGAGAGTCTCTTAACATCAGAATTAACTCTGCTGACCATGGACATGTCTATTATAGACCTGCATTAACATCTCCTTATGTCAGCCTAAACTACAGGCTTTACACAAGCATTAGGATCTGCACAAAGTGAGCTCCCTCCACTTGAGCTCCTGGGGCAGATCGTATTTTGGTGAGGTTATTGCTAGATGTTCAAACAAAAATATACTTGAAACACTAGGAGTCTAGCAAGACCCGACAGCTGAAGGCAAAATTAGAACAAAAAGATGTTCATACTGAAAATAAGGCTTAGTTTTTATTTGCTCTCTGACTAAGCAGCAGGAAGTTTACAGCAAGGCAGTGCAAATTCAGCACCACCAGCGACCTGAAATACAGACTGGGCCGGTGCCTGGAAGCAACAACGGCACTTGGACCACAAGTTGGGGACCTGACGTTTTTCAGGCCGACCCTGGAGCTCATTTCAGGGGTCAGATCCGTGCGTGGGCTGTGCCCACAGCTGCTGCCTTGTGCCCAAGGTATCACCCGCTTTCCAGCGGGCCTACATTTCTCACGCAGCAAACAGTCACTGCTGGACCAAGACACCTATTACAAGCCTGAGGGGTGTCCACCGGTGCTTGCAGCAGCACGGAGAGCTTCCAGAGCCACCTTTCCCAGAAGGTGGGAAGTTGTTTTTCACTTATAAGCCAGAGCAAGACACGTAGGTGCTAAGAGAGCCACGGGCCGCACGCTCACCTGCAGGGGCCCTTCCTCTCCATCTCCAAGGCAAAGCAGCTCCTCTGCTTCCCAAACATAAGCCTGAAGTCAGGGCCTTCCACACACCTCGTTCCCCTCATTTACTAAAATTTGGCATGTCTCGGCTGTGTTTTCACTGGGTTAGA